CCCCGGCCGGCGCCTGCCCCTGAGCTGGCCGGCGCGCCTCGCGCTTCCGCGGCGCGCCGGCCCCGCGGGCGGACGGGGCTCATGCTGCTGCGGGGCTGAGGACGCGGCGCAGCCCCGCCGCCGGCATGGGATGACGGGCTCCGGACCGCGCCGCCTCCGCCGCCCCGCGGAGCCGCTGCCGTCGAGGATGCGCTGCGCCGCCGTCCTTCTCCTGCTGGCGGCGCTGTGGAGCCCCGGGGGAGCGCGCAGTTGCCCGGCGCAGCTGCGCGGCTGCAAGTGCGTGGGCGAGAGGCCGAAGGGGCTGGCCCCGGCCAGGAAGAGGGTCAGCTGCAGCGGCGAGGACCTGGAGGAGCCGCCGGCGCCTCGCTTCTTGCCCAACGGCACCGTCACCCTGTGAGTAGCCCGGGGGCGGGGCGCGGGCGCGGCGCGGCGCGGCGCGGACAGCCGTTCTGATTTGGGCACCTGAAGGAGCCCTGATGGCATTCGTGCGCGCGGGTGGAGGCCGCGGTCGAGGGCGCTCTGGACATGCTTAGAGGTACTCGTGCTGGAATATGGAGCGCTGCGTCTGCTTGGTGATGGTCTGCAACAATGCGTGAGGCTGGAATGCCTGCGGGAGAAGCCGGCCCCTCCTGCAAGGTTCCGTGCCAGGAGTCCCCTTGCGATGATTTGCGGGAAGGAGAGAGCATTCTGCATGAGCTCAGAGGAACGTCGCTCCCTTTGAGGGAGAGCACGAGGGTAGAAGCACTGAAGCCTGGCTTTTCACTTACCCCCGTATTCGAGGGGGGAGGGTTGAATGAACCCCACAAACCCCATCTTCTAGGTTGTGTCTAATGTTAAGGCCACTTAATCATTCATTTCAGTGGATGTTCTCCGAGGTGTATGGACGTTGGATATGATGCTCTCAGCTCCCATCAAAGTTCTGTCGTGGCGGCCCCTTACCGTTTTCTTAAGAACAGTACCTGGAGGGAGGGAGGATGGTATCTGAGACGGGCCTTTCCCCATCTTTGGAGCATTGCAAAAGGGGCGAGCTGGAGTTACGCACTAGACCAGGAACACGTTCTGAACACATCAAAGGCACACTTTCCCACAGCCTTGCTTTGTGGAGCGCCGCATATACCCCAGCAAGTCCAATCAGCAAGTAGGAATCCGTTCTGTGCCATCCAGCGACCAAGTGTCCTCTGGGCTTGTGTGCGAAAAGACCGTGTTTCCTTCAGCAGATGCACGGAGCATTATCCCAAGTGAGCAAAGCTGTGCAAGGGTGATGCGGCGTCAACTGACATAAAGCCTCGGCCGTTTTCACGTGCTTTTCCGACTTCGTGTAAGGCAGGGGTCTCAAAGGCAACTCACCTGGGGGCAGCCTGGGTGAGGCTGGGCCGCATCAAGTATCCCACCACCACGGTGGTGGTGGGCTGCTCATCCCACGGCCGGCCCGGGCGCCGCTGGCGCTTGGAAGGCCGCAGGGCCCCTCCTCCGTGCCCACCTGTCCCAGCAATTGGCCTGCGGGCCGCGAGTTCGAGACCCCTAGCGTAAGGCGTGGGTAGGCAGTGTGGTGCCAATGGGATGAACCAGGATCCTTTGGGGTGGCTCTTTCTCCTTTGCCTGCCTCCCAGGGCAGCCATCTTGTGGTGGTGCCCAAGGCAATTTCTCAAATTGCCAGCTGACCCCTGTCCCAGAAGGGTTGCCCACAGCTGATTCGAGGCTGAGTCTGTGCTTTTCGCACAGTCGTTGCTCTCTGGCCTCGCTGCTTAGAATCCCACCCTGTGTAGCCACGCATAGGCGTCCCTGCTAATACAGGATACGATTCCAGCATCGGTTGAAGTGGGCCTCCGACTGCACAAGCGGATGCAGTGTGCTGCCCTTGAGCGCCTGATGGGGCCCTAACCCTCAGCCCTAAATAAAGCAGTGTTCCAGCCTTCCTCAGTTTTTCCCTCCTGCAGCCCCATAGTCCCCATGGTTGGGAATATTGGGATTTGTAGTCCAAACTGCTAAAGGAGCACCAGATTGGAGAATGCTGCCCTCCATATGTACAGGAAAGAATAGGTTTTAAGGCTGGGGACTTGCATTAAAAGTCAAACATGCGTGGAAAACGACGACACTAAGCAAGGGCTCTTGAGTTCTCGAATGGAAGTTACTATTGGAGCCCGGTTTTATTTCTGTTGCTTCCATTGATGGAATGGATTAGTAGAGCTGGCGCATTCTTTGCTCCCTTTGGCACAAGCTGACTTGAGGGAGGAAGGAGTGGGGAGGGCCGAAAAGACACACCAAGTGAAAGGCCTTGACGTACAGGCTTCCCTCGCATGGGCCCCTGCAGACGTGCTGGACTACAACCCCCAGTGATATTCCCGGTCATCATATGGGAGTTGTGGTCGCAACACATGGGAAGGGCATCAGGTTGGCAAACGTCATCGTAATACCTTATAGGATATCAGACATCTGGGAAGGTAACAAAATTAAGGTATCAACTATTGGTAGCATCAGTATTAGAAGAGGAGTTGGGCCCGCAGTGCGCTATGGTGTTTATGTTTGCACAGAAAAATCCTGCTAGGTTCAAGACAGTACTTCCCAGGAAGCACTTACAGGTTGCTGAGTAAAATCTAACTGGGAGAGATTACAGTGGCTGTCCCCAGCCTGTCTCCTTCCCGATATTTTCGACTTTCATTCTCATCAGCCCCCACCCTGTGCAAAACATCTGGAAAGCACCAGATGCAGGAAGGGGGGCTTAATTTCCAGAGTGAGTCACTCTGAGGTTTGGCCTGTTGCATAAATGGATGCCCGAGCATCTCAAAAGCCTTTACCTCCCTAATTCTGTAGCTTGTGGTAACTTAGGGAAAACACTCTGCATGTGCTCAGAGGCCCTCTGGTGTTTCTTGATGCATCTGAGGTCTGTTCATTTGCATGACATCTGCAGAGAATGCCAGTTAATCCCTGGCAGGTTTGTGGCGGGATTTTAATTATAGTGTTAAATAGGGCTCTACCGGGGCACCACAGGTGTGTGTGTGTGTGCGTGTGTGCACGCACGTGTATGTGCGCGCCATGCTAGTGTGCTCGATTTAGTCCAGAGATGTCAAACTGTTTTTGATCCCAAATTCAGATTGGAGAAGCTCTCAGGGACCAACCCCATTGAGTATGACCAAATAAGGCAAAATGATTAGGTCAGAAGACCAGCATAGCTGAGCGCTTACTCCCAGAAACTAAGCCTTGGGAGATAGGCTCCAGGCTTTTAGAATGGTTGAGAGGGAGAGAAATTATACCAAAGCCAGGTAACCACCAAATGTTGGTAGCTGGAGGAAAGCCATGAGGGGAGAGCTATGGTATGGGAAAGCTTAGGTCCGTCCCTTAAGTTCAACACCCTTTCTCTAGTTAATGCTAAATATTTACTTACAATGATATCTGTAACAAAATGTTGCAGCACAGAGTGGTCTTGTTGAGTCCTTCAGCTGCCTATGAGCTTTCCAGGGTCTTCCATCCCTTTCCCCTTCCTTTTCTTTTTCTGTATCTCTCTCCCCTCTGCACCTCATTATTAGCCAGCCAGCATTCACTGGCCACTCATTGTGCTACTTTTGGTTTTGCTCCACTCTTAGGGTATTCCTTCCCCCTACATTTTTGCCGTACTTCTCCCAACTTGTGGGTCTCCTCCTCATAGCCTGCAGATACCTCTGAATGTGGGGGGTGCTCTTTTCTTACAGGGGGAGAGTTGCTTGGAGAATGAGTTTGCTACTAGACTATAAGTTAGGGCTGTTCCTGAAAAACAAGCAAATGAACTTCTGTGGTTTCTTTCCGTCTATTTATTTTAAAGTAATTTAGTGTCAGTTTTAATGATTGTAAAATATGTTTGCGAAGTCATTGCATACCAAAAAAGGGTATGCATACTTTAATAAATATCAAAAGGTTACTGTAATGGGTGGTGGACTTCAAGCCCCAGGAGAGCTCCTGCATCCAGGCTGGGCTTACAACTCACTCTTTACAGCCGAGAATGTTTTTCCAGCCCTCTTTGAAATATGATGACTGCCTGTAATGAAAGTGACAGTCAATATCCAAAGAAAGCAGTAGTTACTTCTCATTTCCTCTTGCAAAAATTTGAGAAGGCAATGGGGCATCTCCTTTCATTTAAAAATAAAATAAAATAAAATCTAACCATTGGCCAATTTATTTTTTTAATTGAGGAAGAAAAGTAGATGCCTGCAGCTTTCCTTAGGTGCCTATTTTCAGTACACATTCAAGCAAATATCAGAGCTGGATTTGGCACAAAGTCGGGAGAACTTGGCTTGATGCACAGAAAGTTAATAACTTTGCACTCAGAAGTGTGTCTCAAAGGCGGTGGTGGGGAACACATTCCTAGTTTTCCATCCTGCTAATGAGGCTTTTAAAAACTTATAGCAGAGAGAGTGAGAGAGCACACGTGAAGCATTGTGGCCAAATAGGAACATAGGAAGCTGCCTTGTACTGAATCTTATTTGTGGGCCGTCCATGCTGGTATTGCCAACACTGGCTGGCAGCTGAAGATCTGGAAATTGGTCCTGGAACCTCTTGCATGCACTGTGGCCCCTTTTCCTGGACTGTGCATCCTTTCTGCAAAGTTGGATTATCAGCTCTCCAGGGAAATTTCTGAAGTCTCAATCTGTAAACCTTTATAATTCCTATAGAATGTTGTCCAGGATCGGATCAGATCAGATATAAAGTCTCGTTAATAGCCAGATCCCAGCCCTCTGCATATTTTCTGAGCTGAGTGCCTTTGACTGAAGAGCAGCTATTCCAATGCCAAGACATCTTCCTGTGATGTATGCTTGTTCTGGTATTCAAGTTCATTTTCAGTTCCTATGGCTGATTGCTTCTATACTTCTCTGTTTGGCTTGGCTGTTCCTTGGAGGATGCTTCCCTAAACCCTGCTTAAAAATAACAAATCCTGTTTTTTTCTGAATGGTCAGTGGAAGTTTTGCTCAGTCATGGAGTGAGTTGCAGGAAGAATAAGATTACATGCAGCTCTGTTCTTTACACAGCTACTCAGAAGTAGCCTTTCTTGAACTCCAAGCATGTTAGGTAAGGAATAAAAAGTTTTGAGCAGAGAATGTCGCCATCGTATATTTGTATCCCGCTTTTCCTTCAAGAAGGGAGCCTAAAAAGGGGCAAAGAAATACTGACAGATGGCAATCTTAAAACCATCTAGCAATAAAAATTACAGTCAACCTATAAACAAACTTTCAGTTCAAATTTTAATTGTCAGTCTAGTTAATACACACATTTGGAAATGGCCTGAACAACGAGGGATGCTATAAAATGTGGAATACTATAAAATGCAACCTAAACTTGAATGCAAACTACACTCTAAGTTGATACAATACAATGTATCCATGTATTTTGAAAGTATGAATCCCTCCTGAATATCTGTGTTGTGG